AGGGGGGGGGGGAGAAGGCGAAGCTACTCCTTGAATCATCACCATCGTCGTCGTCGTAGTTTTCATTTCATCATCATCATTATCATTGCCTTTCTCACCCTGCATCTTCCCACAGATCTACCACCTTCCTACCTCATCTTTGACTGGGATCTGTCTTGTTTTCCTTAACACTTTCTCGTTGGTGACCCTGTCTGTCCATCTGATCCTCAGTAACTTTCTTAGACACTTGTTCAAGAAAACCTGTATCCTTTTAATGCAAGTCTGGGATGCGTTCCATGTCTCCCATCCATACAACAGGACTGACATCACATTTGAATTGAAAATCCTCAGCTTTGTTGAAACTGAGATATCTTTGTCTCACTGTCATGGTCGCAGCTTCCTAATTATGAACAGGCATTCTCATACACAAAACATGTAGTTGTAGTGTGGGCCTACATTCTGTAAGTGGTGGGTGGATACACGTACGTATGTCTTGTATCACCATCATCATCCATTGCCTGATCTGCGACAGACATCGGCGATCATGGTTCTCCATTCATTCCTTTGCTCGGATGCTCTCAAAAAAGCTACGTTACCCTGTTACTGTTACCCATTTGTTTAGGTTCCCAAAGTATGTTGTTCTGGGCCTTCCCCTGCCTCGCTTGCCCTCAATGTTGCCAGTGAGAGCAAGATGTTCAAGATATTAATGTCTATTTAGGTGTCCCAAAAACTGCATTTGTCGTTTCCTGGTTGTTTTTAACATTGAACGTCCCACGTGGGCTTCATCAAGCACTACCTCATTAAAATTTGATTTCTTTTCTTTCCTCGATACTCTTAGCAGTCTCCTAAGAAACCACACGTATACCGTACGTAATACATCTTGTTACATCTCGATTTTAATTTGAAACGACCACTTTTCTTTCCAGGGTCTTTGGGCTTTGGCAAGTTCGGTTATGGCGGATTTGGATTCGGCGGTTATGGCCACGGCATTGGCTATGGCTACCCCTTGATTGGAGGTTTCTACGGAAAGGGTTACGGCAGTAAGTCATGTATACTTTATTATCACCCTCTTTTTAACCATCATTTAAATTAATTTAATCTGATCATTGACCAAAACCAAGCCGTGCTGTGAACTGCTAAGAATGCAGCCAACTTATGTTTCGCGCGCTCATATGAACGTATGCAGTTGGGAGCGTCGTAAAACTCTTACTAAACTAAAAAAAACAAAAAACTACAACCTAACTTTCAAAGGTTGTGGTTGTATAAGCACGATAGTGACTCTAAATTAAATTCATCCAAATTCCATAGTCAGTATAGTTCATCCTTGATATGGTCGCTTTTAAGCACAATGGGGCTATCCCTAAAAATACTGGTTTGAGAAAATCGAAGGTAAAGTTTTTGGACCCTTGTTCAGTTTCTTTAAAAGGCAAAGAGAGTTTTCTCTATAACCAAAAGAATATATATATATACCACTGAAACCAAACCTCTCCTATAGGTAGGGCAATTCCCACTTTTGGTGTAGGTCAAGTTTTCTGGAAACCCCCGAAATCTGGGTTAGCCCGCTTGTCCTTAAAAGCGACCATACATTATAGATGTCGCTACTGGCGCCGCGGAAAATGTTTTGTTGTTTTGTTCCGATACTCAAACAAATGAAAAGCCCCCTCAAATCAATATAGCACCAGTACATTTTCTTTTGCTAAAAAAGAGCTTTTTCTTATCTATTTCCAGGTTACTATTAAATGGCATTTTTGCCTTCGGAATTCGACACAGAACGACTGAGGAATATGGATCTACCATTTACGTCCCATCACAACTTTGAGGAAAAATACAAGATCTATTAAAATTGTTACTTCTGGTATAACGAAAATGTTAAAACGATCTGCATTATATTATGACCATCTTGATATACTGCCCCGCTGTTCTACAAATTAAACCATCATGCGCTGATTACGTGCCTCACACGTTCCGCTCTTCTAGTTAATTTTTTATTTCTTCTACTTTTTCCACCGAACAACCTTTTCTTTTCTTACATTTTCCCTTGCAGGTAAAGAGGTAAAAGGGGGCTCTCGTGGCCTAGAGGTTAAGGTGTTGGCCTCTCATTCAAAGGTCCCGGGTTCGAATCCGGGTTGACTGAAATTTTTTAAAAATCTAAATGTGTCTCATTTCACCTCCTTTCCTGCTCTCTAGCAATGTTCTGTCGTTGGCTTTCGTCTCCACTTTCTGCCCCCACCCCCTCACCTCCTTTGCCCCCTCCTCTTTCTGCAGCCTTTCTACTGCTACTTCTTAGCTCTTTCTTAATGCTGTCTTTCAGCCCCACCCCTGATCTTCTGGTAGGAAATATCTACACCTAGCCTTCTCGGACAAGGGCTAAAAATCTCGGAAGACTCGTGTGCAAGTTGCGCACGTTTAAGATCCCTTGGTGGTCTAAAATCGATAAGAGTAGGCTTCAGCCGCCACCCGGGCAAAATTCAAAATTTCCTACCAACTGAAAAAAATTAATGTGTCCCGCGCCCTCATATGACCGTATGCAGTTGCAAGCGCCGTAAAACACTTACAAAAAAAAGAAAAAAAAATACCAAGCAGTTGCGAGCGCCGTAAAACTGTTTCTAAAATTAAACGAGAAGAAAGGCCCCCCCCCAAAAAAAAGAAAAAAAAGAAAGAAAGGAAGTACAGTTGCTGTCTCTGGTGGTGCACCATGGGCGCACGATCGAATGGGAAAAGCTACTAACTATAAAAATTGTACTTAGTTTAGTTTTAGTAGAGGTTTTACGGCGCACGCAACTGCATAAGGTCATATGAGCGCCAGAATATTAGAGGTGTTACAAGAGAGTAACAAATATAAAAAAGAAGAAGAATGGGAGATAAGGACGATAGAAAACAGATGTTGGATAGGAAAGAAGAAGCAAACCACACCAGAGCACCCACCAACCATCCACCAATGATATTACAAATCGACCCTTTATATACTTCTTCATAAGATCAAATGAACCGTCTCTGACCGAACGAAGGGGTGTGGGTGGTTGGCGGGTGCTCTGGTGTGGTTTGCTCCTTCTTTCCTATCAAACAACTATCATCTTTATCTCCACCCCTTCTTTTTGTGTTTGTTCCTCTCTTGTTACACCTCTAATCTTCGGCACTTATAATACCTAATTGTGTAGCAAGTGCCGTAGAACTCTATTAAAACTAAACTAGAACGTATATGTGGAAGAGCCCCTCCCCACCCCTCTCTCTCTCACACACACACACACACACACACTCTCTCTCTCACACACACACACACCAAGGAGTTTACAGTTCTAAACTCCTTGACCCACGCTCACTCTCTCTCTCACACTCACACACACACTCTCTCTCTGTCATACATACACACACTCTCTCTCTCTATCACTCAACACTGTACATAATGTACTTGACTGTACTGTCGTTTATTTTAAGATACAAGGAGAACCTATTTTACCTACTATCTCCGATAAAACTGAACAAAAATGGATGGAAAGCAAATTGGGGATTCAAACCGGTCACCTGCATCGTAGTCCAGCTAGATACCTACTGAACCAACGGCATGTTCCATCTCCACCCTTCTCTCTCTCTCTCTGTTTTTTTCAGTTTTAGTAGAGGTTTTTACTGCGCTCGCAACTGCATAAGGCCATATGAGCGCCAGAAGATTAGAGGTGTTACAAGAGAGTAACAAACATAAAAAAGAAGGGGAGATAAGGACAATAGATGTTTAAAAGGAAAAAAGAAGCAAACCACACAAGAGCACCCACCACCCACCCAAATGTAAAAGACTCCAAGCCTCCACCTCCGCCGAGGGAAATAAGCAGAATAAGATCCTCTCCAACAAAAGAAGTGGCCACAAAGTGAGCTAGGCTGTATGTTATTTTCTGATTTGTCCAGACAGCATCCTCAGCTTTGGTGAGCTGGTCAGCTACTAATTACAAGCTGTTTGTGACGTTTTTGTTTTACGGCACTTGCGACACAGTTAGGTCACAGACGTAGCAAAGATTAGAGGTGTTACAAAAGATTAACACACAAAAAAGGAGAGAGAAGGACAATTGAGGTTTGATCAGAAGAAAAAAGGAGCAAATCATACCAAAGGACCGACCAGCCTCCCACAAATGTTTTAGTAAGTGTTTTTCGGCACTTGCAACACAATTAAATAAGGTCATATAAGTGCCGAACCCACATATAAAGGTACAGGTTTTTAGTTCAATTAAAGAGAAACACATCAATATGATAAAAGGTCATTTAGAGGCGGAAAATAACGAGAGGGACAGATCCAACAAAAAAAGGAAAGGAAAGAAACAGGAACTGTGATCCAAAAGAGGATAATTAACCCTATCCGTACGCCCTGAGGTCATTTTCTACCCCGGGGTTGTATTCTTCATATTTTAGAATGCTTCTAGTACTAAGACCTCTTTGAAACTGAGTATTTCTCAAAAATCATTCTGACAGACTGCTATGCAAAGCATATGGATCGAATTAACGAGTAAATTTCATCTTTGGAAAGTGGTGGCACAGAGTACCCCACGTCGTGTGGATACGATAGTAAAACATGACGTACGGATAGGGTTAAGTGGTGGCACAGAGTTCTCCACGTCGTGTGGATACGATAGTAAAACACGACGTACGGATAGGGTTAAGTGGTGGCACAGAGTTCCCCATGTCGTGTGGATACGATAGTAAAACACAACATACGGATAGGGTTAAAGAGAAGAATATCAATATGATAACGATCATTTAGAGGCGGAAAATAGCAAGAGAGACAGACAGATCCAACAAAAAAAAAGAAAGGAAAGAAAAAGGAACTGTGATCTAAAAGAGGATAAATAAATTGTAAAGTTATAGGTCCATACCTTTGAGTTTATGAGTTTCTGACTGAAAGAAAAGTGATCAAAGAATATTTGAAAAATCCTAAATGGAGGCACAGTGACTGAAAGAACTAGTCTAACCTGCTGTTTTAGTTGTAGTTTAAGTTTTAGTAAGAGTTTTGTGGCACTTGCAACACAATAAGGTAATAATTTAAGTGCCGAAGACTAGAAGTGTTATAAGAGAGTAACAGACACAATAAAAGAAGGAGGAGAGATCAGGAAAATAGATGTTTGGTAGGAAAGAAGAAGCAAACCACACCAGAGCGCCCGCACAACCACCCACTAACCTGCTGTATAGGCCACCAGTCCAAGACAATCACTTGTACAAAAGACCACTTCCTACTCCCCCCCCCCCCCCCCCCCCCTTCCATCATTTATAAATATATCATTATGATTTTGTTCATGAAGCCTACCTGTCTAAGACAACCACTTTTCTTTTTCACAATATGAGTAGCTGTCTTGAACAATTTCGACAGTATATCCAACAACTTATTACTGACATGCGAGAGATAATACACAGGAACTAACAGCTTTTTAGTTTTAGTAGAGGTTTTACTGCGCTTGCAACTGCATAAGGTCATATATGAGCGCCAGAAGAATAGAGGGGTTACAAGAGAGAAACAAACATAAAAAAGAAGGGGAGATAAGGAAGATAGACGTTCGATAGGAAAGAAGAAGCAAGCCACACCAGAGTACCCATCAACCACCCACAGGAACTAACTGCAAAGGAACTTACTTGCATCATCAGCAATAACGAGTCAAAAAGGTCAAACAAACATTTTTGGGAAAACATGCTTATTTTATTCATTTTTAAAAGGCAGGGGCACCAGAAGCAGCAACATATCAAATAGAATACCAGACTAACATCAATGTTGAGATGTTTTGTACTTGATAAAACCAGCCAAGTTTGCCTTTGCCATCATCACAACTCCATAGTTCTCTCCAAGCTTCTTTCTCTGGCCGGAAACCTGGCGAAATATCAGATGAAGTGAACGACTTTTATTTAAGAAAAAGGTATATTTTGTTGTTACGTTTTAGAAAAAGTTTAATGACACTTGCAACACAATTAGGTCATATAAGTGCCAAAGATTAGAGGTGTTACAAGAGAGTAACAAACATAAAAAAGAAGAAGGGGAGATAAGGACAATATAAACGTTTGATAGGAAAGAAGAAGCAAACTACACCAGAGCACCTGCCAACCACCCACAAACCTGGAAAAATATCGGATGGAAGTTAAAGTAGTTAAAGACTTTTGTTAAAGAAAAAGGTATGTTCTGTTGTTACGTTTTAGAAAGAGTTTTATGAAACTAGCAACACAACACAATTAGGTAATATGAGTGAAAAAGATTAGAGGTGTTACAAGAGAGTAACAAATACGAAAATCCTAAATGGTACTAGAGATGATACTAGAAAAAATTAGGTTGGTTCATTGTTTTATTTACTGAGTCTTTAACTGCTGTTAGATTTTACAGAAGTTTGAAAATGTTATTTATATATGAATGCACAGTCTGGACAAAAGGGGAAAAGGTTAAAACACTGGTTTTTAGGACAAACTCTATATGAGTTAAGTCTTGTGTATGATCCCCGACTCCACTTCAGTCAAAGCATCATTAAACCCAGCCGTAGATCTAGCCTCTGGTAGCTCTATTAATGGTGATCCCCTGCCAATTCCACTATCGTCAAAATCATCATCGATGTTATGTGGAACATTGCAATCGTTCGTCTTCAACGGTCATATTTATCGATATATCCGACTGGGAAATCTTCATTGGGGTCTGGTTCAGGATTTTTAAAAGTCAAAATTTTGCGGCCTGAAGGGCCTGGCAGCGAAATGTCACTAATTTTTCTTCAAAACCCGCAAAATTTCTTAACTTTGGGTGTAGAACTGCTCTCATATTATCGGTACCTTCTGCTCACGATAGTCATCTGTGGTTACATCCCCTGTTTCTAGGACAGGGAATTAAACGATAAAGTTGACCAGCGGTTACCAGCAGTATAGGAAAATAAGACGTCAGAGGTTACCAGCGGTATAGGGTTTTAAGGGTTAATTTATAACTCATAAAGCCTCACATTATTTGTTGCCCTCTGTGATTGTTGTTCTCTAACTGGGTCTGTCGGGGAATAGGCTCTTCCATGTCTAGTGATCAATGGTGAAGTCCTTCAGAGACCATATTTGAGTGTGTCTGTCTAGCACTCACTGTATCTCTTACCTTTTGTTTGTTTTAGTAGAGGTTTTACAGCGCTCGCAACTGCATAAGGTCATATGAGCGCCAGAAGAATAGAGGCGTTACAAGAGAGTAACAAACACAAAAAAGAAGAAGGGGTGATAAGGACTATAGATGTTTGATAGGAAAGAAGAAGTAAAACACACCAGAGCACCCGCCAACCACCCACTTACAAGAGAGTAAAAAACATAAAAAAGAAGAAGGGGAAATAAGGACGATAGATATTTGATAGGAAAGAAGAAGAAAACCACACCAGAGCACCCGCCAACCACCCACACTGTATCTCTTACCTTTGACTTAAAGGAGGACTGAAGAGACCTGAGCTTGTCCACCAATCCAATCTCTCTGACCACAGCGTCCGTGTGATCCTCCTTGAAGACATCAAACAGAGAGTCGAGAGCTTCTGCCATGACAACCACATCTTCGTTGTTGCAGGCCACCTCACACAATATGAAACCGATTCTCTGTCAAAATAGGACAAAAATGAAAGAAAAATATTACAATTCAGTAAACTTAACACCACTACTACATACTAAATAGAGCAGACGAGGTCACAATCTTTCGACTACGTTGTGGCCACAACAGACTCAAACACCATATGCACATTAAATTAAAAGTGAGAGAGTCCGTGATCTGTGGAAGTGGACACAACCAAGAGGATGCCAACCATATCCTTCAGCACTGCCCGCGCTACGCCACCTTTTGTACACAGACGTGGCAGAATGTGACTCCCCTTGACAGAAAGCTCTATGGCAGTCTCTCAGATTTGAAGCGGACTGCACAGTTTGTGCGCGACATCGGACTGACTGTCTAGCAGCTGTCATCGAGAACAAGGAAGAAGAAGAAGCTAACTTAACATTCTTCTGCTTTCCTCTCATTCTGTCATTTCTAGTAAATTTCAGACTCCTTCTCTTGTCCTGTGTTATTTGTCCTTCACCTTGACTGGTTCAACAAGGTGGTTAGATCTTTTAGACTTCAGTACAATCATAATAGAACATGTCAAAGTAATCCCAAATGTTGGTACAAAATTTTCGGGGCTCCAGTAGCTAAGTGAGTTATGAGTAGTGAGTTTAGACTCAAGTAATGTCAAGTAAGTGTTGGTGACACCGGGCTCCAGTGGCTAAGTGAGTAGTGAGCAGTGGCTAAGTGAGTAGTGAGTATAGACTCAAGAAATGTCAAGCAAGTGTCGGTGACACGGGGATCAGATGGGCGGTCACTGGGGTGTGTCCTTGAGCAAGACACGACAACCCTTGCTCAAAATACAGGGTGCTGCACAGTGGCGACCGACAGTGGCATGGTTGTAAACTGTTCTGTATTTGTGTAATATTGTGTATTAACGTATGTATTTGTGCATGTACGTATTTATAATTATGTATTCATGTATGTAAATGTATGTTTGCCATCGCAAACCGTTTGTACAGGTGGCTGTATTATACAGGGGGCCGTCATGGCAGGTTCCACTGTATGTACTTTTTAGTAGAGGTTTTAAGGCGCACGCAGCTGCATAAGGTCATATAAGCGCCAGAACATTAGGTGTTACAAGAGAGTAACAAACATAAAAAAGAAGAAGGGGAGATAAGGAACGATAGATGTTTCATAGGAAAGAAGAAGCAAACCACACCAGAGCACCCGCCAACCACCCACCGGTATGTACTTTGATTAAACATTAAAATTGTTTTTTCTGGTAAAAAGACTTGGATATTCAACATCAGAGAAAACTGATAGTGGAATGCATTCCTTACCGTGAGCAACACATGGGGCGGTGTCTGAGCAGACAGGATACAGCCAATTGTGGAGATGATCCGAAGCACATTGATTTGGGTCTCGCGGCTTTTGCTTGAAACACCAATGTTCACCATTGACTCCAGATCAGCAGTGCTCACTTCACCAACCTAGGAGAGAATAGAATCAAAAGGGGAGTAAATTTCAACAGAAACACACAAATCTTCTTATCAAACTTTCTTTACTTTACTTTTCCGATCCAGTGGCCATTTGGGTTCTAGCCCTTCGGCCTGTCCTCTCTTATAAACAAAAGCTGGCATTGTGTATAGTGTTCTTGCTAAGGATAGAACCATGACACACTTCAAACACAAACACGTACAGTAAGACATTGCACAAAATAACATCTTCATCGCAAGTTTTTTTCCCCCATTCTTTTTTGTTCACAACTTCTAAAATTTTCAGAGACTCCCATATGTTCATGATCTTCACATGAAAAGAAAACAAGAAAAACTTGTTCAGTGAAGTGGGTGTTATTTATCTCAAAGAAAGCAAGAAAAACTTGTTCAGTGAGGTGGGTGTTATTTATCTCAAAGAAAGCAAGAAAAACCTGTTCAGTGAAAGAGGTGTTACTAATTATCTAACTTACATTCGAGACATCAAATTCTGCCATTCTCTGAATCACAGCCCTCATAGCACTCGTCACGGCCCACTTGTGGTCTTCATCACTTCCATGAGTACCTGAAATGAAATGGGAACAATTTAGGAATTTTACTACAAATTACAACTCATTCATATTATCACTTTTAAGGACAAGCGGGCTAACCCGGATTTCGGGGGTTTCCGGAAATCTTGACCTGCATCAAAAGTGGGCATTGCCCTACCTAGAGAAGTCTGGTTTCATTGGAGTGTATATTTCTTTGGTTATAGAGAAAGCTCTCCTTGTCTTTTAAAGAAACTAAACAAGGGTCCAAAAACTTTCCTTCCATTTTCTCAAAACAGCATTTTTAGGGATAGCCCCCTTGTGCTTCAAAGCGACCACATTATATATATTTATATACTCAAATTAAAACCAAGCTGAAAACTTTGCCTTCCATATTACAACATTCTGAAAAGAGAAAGACATAATTCTAAAGGTGTCAAAACAGCATTTAGCACGACCACTGATCTCAATAGTGAAAGTCAATGATTTCCATTACTGCTACTTGAAAACGCAATTCTATGAAATAGTCCAAGATCTGCTCTTCAAATTTCCCAAACTACAGGATCTATATTATTAGTAGAGGTTTTACAGCACTCACAACAGCATAAGGTCATATGAGCGCCAGAAGATTAGAGGTGTTACAACATAAGAGTAACAAAGATAAAAAAGAAGGAGGGGAGATAAGGACGATAGATGTCTGATAGGAAAGAAGGAGCAAACCACACCAGAGCACCCGCCAACCACCCACAAACTACAGGATCTCTGACGGCAGCTTCTTTCTCCACTCCCTGCCACAGACAATATCCAATACACATACCACTGGGCCCTAACACTAAACACTCAAAGGCTACTGTCTGTGAAGTAAAATGTTGACCCTCAAATGCAAGTTCTACCCCCCCACCCCCACTCCCTTAGGTTGTTTTGTAGGGAGTAAATAAAAACACATCAACACAATAACAATCATTTAGTGCTAGTTTTAGTTTTAGTAAAAGTTTTACAGCATTTGCAACACAATAAGGTCATACAAGCGCCGAAGAATAGACGTGTTACAAGAGAGTAACAAACACAAAAAAGAAGGAGGAGAGATAAGGACGATAGATGTTTGATAGGAAAGAAGGAGCAAACCACACCAGAGCACCCGCCAACCACCCACAAACTACAGGATCTCTGACGGCAGCTTCTTTCTCCACTCCCTGCCACAGACAATATCCAATACACATACCACTGGGCCCTAACACTAAACACTCAAAGGCTACTGTCTGTGAAGTAAAATGTTGACCCTCAAATGCAAGTTCTACCCCCCCACCCCCACTCCCTTAGGTTGTTTTGTAGGGAGTAAATAAAAACACATCAACACAATAACAATCATTTAGTGCTAGTTTTAGTTTTAGTAAAAGTTTTACAGCATTTGCAACACAATAAGGTCATACAAGCGCCGAAGAATAGACGTGTTACAAGAGAGTAACAAACACAAAAAAGAAGGAGGAGAGATAAGGACGATAGATGTTTGATAGGAAAGAAGGAGCAAACCACACCAGAGCACCCGCCAACCACCCACATTTAGAGCTAGAAAAGAGTAAGACAGACAAACAGAAACAACACAGGGAAAGACAAGAAGCAAGAAAATCCAGTCGCACCTTCCAACCAACGACCCAGCCCCTCCCCCTGAAAGTGACAGGAAGCACTAACTTTGAGACAGTGCGGCCAACTTGTGTACATTTGTCCAGATGGATGACAAAGGTGTGGGAGAGGTGGACAATGACTCTGCATCCAGTGCACTAACAACATTGCTGAGGCACAAAAGGCCGCGCGACTGGAGTTCGTTTAGCCTGAAAAGAAGAAAAGTGTTATTTTTTAGGAGAAGTTTTTCGGCGTTCGCAACTGCATAAGATCATATAAGCGCCAGAACATTAGGTGTTACAAGAGAGTAACAAACATAAAAAAGAAGAAGGGGAGATAAGGAACGATAGATGTTTCATAGGAAAGAAGAAGCAAACCACACCAGAGCACCCGCCAACCATCCAGAGAAAAAATGTAAACGCGGTCAGATCCAGTACTTTTAGAAAGAGAAAGTATTCACGCTTCAAGACAAAATCAACATGTTAAATACCCAAATCAAGATGTTAGTGATATGTTTCTCAAATTCAAATGTATACACAGTGGAGTCCGCTTAAACGGAAATCAGTGGATATGTTAGATTTCCTTCGGAATAGAAAAAATCTGGGCTTTTATTTTCTTTCAGTCTACTGCTGTTTTCAGACTGATACTGTTTCGTTTAAGCGGACTCTAAAGTGTTTCATGGACTTCTTATCATAAAAGATTCTTCAATGTTGTTTTTGTTTACCGCGCTTTGTAAAAAAATTGAATTTTTATTAAAAACAGATACCTACTTCGTCTGAACAACTTTCCCCCAACGAAACTGTCGCATCTGTTCCATGAGAGGACATTCCACAGGCAAAGTTTTCTGCATAATCTGAAACAAATTTGAAATTTACACTGAGTAACATTGAGACAATACATCATAGTAAACAGTAAAATGAAAACAACTAAAACAACAATGAAATACTCAACTTTTTTTCCTTACAACCAAGTACTCATTACCTTGGGGGGGGGGGGGGGGGGGGGGGGGGGGGGTAAATGTTTTACCGTGCTCGCAACTGCCTGAGGTCATATGAGCGCGTGGACACACCAAACACTTTCAGTTGGCAAGAAATTTTGAAGTTAGCCCGGGTGGAGGCCGAAACCTACTCTTATCGATTTCCGACCACCAAGGGTTCTTTAACGAGCGCAACTTGCACACAGGACCTCCGAGATTTTTCGCCCTTGTCCAAGGAGGCTAGGTGTAGATCTTTCCTACCAGAAGATCAGGGTTGTGGCAGAAAGACAGCAGTAAGAAGGAGCCAAGGAGAAGCAGTGGAAAGGCTGCAGAAAGAGTCAGGAGCCCAGAGGAGGGGGCAAAGGCAGAAAGTGGAGACGAAAGCAGACGACAGAACAATGCTAGAGATCAGGAAAGGAGATGAAAGGACACAGTTTTAGAGAAGAAAAATTTTCTGCCGCTACCCGGATTCGAACCCAGGACCTTTGGATGAGAGGCGAACAAGAGTTCCCCCTTCTTACCTTGGACAAAACGTTATTTTCCATGAAAGAAGAATGCAGTTCAGTTGAGAGACAAAGAGACTCCTGCAATGAAAAGATATACAAAGACAGGTTAAAAATGGAGTGAGTTCAGTTCTGACAGCAGTATGTATCTTGGAGATCAGAATGTTTTTTTGTGACTGGGAGTTAAACTGAATATCTAAAAAAAAAGGATAGACACCATTTTTTAAATAGCAACAACAAAAAATGAAAGTATACAAAGCACACATGTGCTCAAAGACAAAAACAATCATTTACAACCAATCACGTTTCAACAACTAGAAGACATTATTGAGTGTATGAGCCTAGCACTTCACGGGTAGAGAATAATTTTGTCAACAGAATGTTTCTCGTTAACTGTCTAGCCTATTGCATGTCATACACTGTGAATCTGATAACTCGATAAAAAGAAAACATTTCATTATACAAATACAGTTGAAATTGTCCGATTTGGTCAACCATTATCAAAGACAAATATGATTGTCTTAAACAGTGTCATTTTAAATTTATTTTTTTCAAATTCACTTTGGCGACTCTTTTTTAACTTGTGACCAGAAATTGATTACTTTTTCGACGTTGCTCCATTTTGATAAATGCAGCTTATCCCAAGTTCTACCGGAAGGTCAGCATCGTCACTATTTGTCAATATCAGAGTTTACACTCCAAACGCCTAATAAAAAATTAATGTAATAATAATAATAAATAATATATAACATTTATATAGCGCATTTCCAAAAAAAAGTAGCTCACTGCGCTGTACATTGGAAGACCCATTTTGAAAACCTTTCGTAGCACTTCCTTTCTTCTCATGCAATACATATTCATGCGTGTGAGCACAAACACACACATGCTCAACAATGAGACAATCAATCTCCACTCCAAAGGTGTAAGATCAAAACTCACCATATTTCCATCGGCGGAGTTTTCCTGACAAGCACCGGCCTCCTCCAGCGCCTGATCATCCGACGATTCCTCGGACCCCTGGCAGTCCATCTCCATGTCCTCCCACTCATCTAAACCAAGGGAGAAAGGACAAACCAGTTATGGTCGCTTTTAAGAACAAGGGGGCTATCACGAAAAATGCTGTTTTGTGAAAATCGAAGGTAAAGTTTTTGGATCCTTATTCAGCGTCTTTAAAAAACAAGGAGAGTTTTCTCTATAACCAAAAAAATATACACACCGATGAAACCAAACTTCTCCTATAGGTAGGACAATTCCCACTCTTGGTGAAGGTCAAGATTCCTGGAAACCCACAAAATCTGGGTTAGCCTGCTTGTCCTTAAAAGAGACCATTTATCTTAATTTCATTCACCGTTTGAGTTCCAGCTCTACGGTCTAATTATAAAACTCCACATTCTTTTTTCATTATAATATCATGATACAAAAAACATAACCTTTCCAAGCTTTAATATCTCATTCATATTCTGTCTCTTAATGCAATCTAAAGGCAAAAGTTTAACTGCCAATTTCACAAAGGTTAGCCATAGTTATAGCCATATTTTACACTTTAGTAATGTAATAGATAAACAAAAGGTTAACCTTTCAAAACTTTACATGACAGTGTCAACAATAGTATGGTCAAGCATCATTTTTTTTCTGCTTTAGCCTCTTTTTTAGTTTTATTAGAGGTTTTACGGCGCTCGCAACTGCATAAGGTCATATGAGCGCCAGAAGATTAGAGGCGTTACAAGAGAGTAACAAACATAACAAAAGAAGAAGGCGAGACAAGGACGATAGAAGTTTCATAGGAAAGAAGAGGCAACCCACACCAGAGCACCTGCGAACCACACACACTTTAGCCTTACTGATGGTGCAACTAAATCTTTGGCATCATATTTGACTTTGTCCAAGTTGTTAGAAGTTGGAAGGCTTTGAAAAAAAAAAAAAAAAAAGAAAAAAAACCCCCCATTCCTAACCAAGAACTCAGTTTTTGTTACATTATTTCTGAACCACAAGCGCTAGAATTAGAAGTTATTGAAATACAGAGTCTCACATAGTATTCTTACTCTGAAAGCTAGATCTAGGCCAAAATCGTATGTGCGTAAAACAATGTTGAAATCATACCTGCATAAAACAAACTTTTTTCTGTGATGTTTACTTTTCATGGGGTTATAGTGAACTAAAGTTTGTTGATATAATACATTGTACATTGTGAAAATAAAATAAAAACGACAAAAAGTGATAGTTTTACCACAATCAGGAATGCAACATAATCAGTTGCAGTAAAGAATGACAGTTTTTCGTAAGATAATTTTGCTGCCACTTGACCTGGTCAGTGAGAAATGGCGGACAATCCTTCCACCCCCTTTCTCATCAGAGTATGAAAGTAAACAAAAAACAAAAAATTGTGCATCGAATAACAAAACCAAAAGAACACATATCATTATACAAATACAGATGATGTTGTCCCAGACGGTCACACATTGTCAAGGAAAAATATGTTCGTTTTGAAAAGTATTGTATAATTTAAAAAAAAATTTTTTTTTTAAACAAGAGGGAAAGAGGGAAGTGGTCGTTTGTACAGATGACAGTTTTATGTTTTAGTGAGAGTTTTACGGCACTTGCAACACAATAAGGTCATATATGTGCCGAAGATTAGAGGTGTTACAAGAGAGTAACAAGCATAAAAAAGAAGGAGGAGAGATAAAGATGATAGTTGTTTGATAGGAAAGAAAGAGCAAGCCACACCAGAGCACCTGCCAACCACCCACCGGGTGACAGTCTTTGACGTGGCTGATAGAGCAATCTCGACGGTACAACTTTATAAAGAACCACAAAGACATCAGTGCAGCACAAGCTGAATACCTCGTCAAGCAACAAAAAGCACATCTCATAGAGCTAATGAATCACATCCTTCAGCACTTGCAAGACACACAGGGCCCTGAGACAGGAAATGTGGCAAACCCCACTGACACTACAAGAGAAGCTATACGGGCCAACAGATGAACTGAGCAGGACAGCCCAATTTATGACATATACCAGACTTCAAGTGTGATGCGATCGAGAAGAAGAAGAAGAAGCTAAAGAATCTAACAGAAAGAGACAACATTCGTTAGTTAAAAAATCACCATCGTCTGTGCAGCATAAGTTTGCCAGCAGCTCCAAACACACGCCTTGGGCACGCAGCAGTTTGTCCACACCAGAGGAAACCCCTTCTTCTGAATACATTTCATTCTGGTGATCAAGTCATTTTAGTAGTTTTAGTAGAGGTTTTACAACGCTCGCAACTACATAAGGTCAAATGAGCGCCAGAATATTAGAGGTGTTACAAGAGAGTAACAAACATAAAAAAGAAGAAGGGCAGAAAAGGACGATTGATGTTTGATAGGAAAGAGGAGAAGCAAACCACACCTGAGCACCCGCCAAACACCCATGGATAAAGTCAAAGACTTTGTCCAAGGAAATCTTTAACACCACTGGTTACCATTTTCAACAAAGCCAACGTAGCAAGAAAATGAGCAACTCCAAGTGTGATCATGCTTTGTAGGAAGAGTAAAAGAACATTTGGGTCACTTTTCTCGTATTAGCAAAAAGTAAAGTAGAAATATTGTCACTCTTGATTATAGCCTTTCTCATCAAAGGTAGAGTAGTCGCAGATCATAGTGCCTAGAAAAATGTGCAATTCACAGAACTGCATAATCACATCTTACAGTGCAGAAACAAAAAAAAATAGCATACAGGATCCCATGTCACAATACACACTTTTATTACACCAATGGGGTTAAAATGATGATTTTTACACCATTTTCACTTTCTCATCAAAACAGAAGGAGGCTGGAGCTCACTAAATTTCAACAATGTTAACAATCGAAAATGAACTTCTGAATACAAACTGATACCTTCAAACACAAAAAGCAAAGAACAAGTAGTAACAAGTTTACTTTTCTAAAGATGTTCACACAATTTCCCTTTTACATACAGAAATGAAAATTTCTTAACACTATCTGTTGTTACTTGGAACATTAAACAAAGATTTTACACTACTAACCTTCTGTCACATGCCACTATAACAGGAATTAGCCAAACCTGTTCCTCTGCTCTGTGTTGTGATTCCTTCCGCAGCTTTGGAGCCCCGATGCGTTGGATTGGAATCTCACACTTCACGCACAATCTATACTGTCAGCAAGCCTCCTATGCCTTGATACAACTCTCTCCTCTCTAACTCCCACCAGTAGTAACTCAGACTTTTATCAACTTGCAAACAATACAACTGAACACAGACTCACACTTTACTCACTCTCACACTTTCAGCCAAATAATACAATAGGCTAGGCCTAACCCCCTGCCACAACCAAAAACAACCAAATACACCACACTATCCACCCACACAGCGCTCAGAGCGCGCAACACTTGTCCCCACGGACCAGGATACGGGTGCAGTACATGCTGTACACACCAGCGCCGACCGGTGTCCCGTGGGGGCAAAGTGTTAAAAGAGGAAATCAGAGACAAATTTCCCTTTTGCTCCCCTCCCCCCGCCCCCTCCCCATCCATTTCGATCAAAACTGTGTCGTTACCTCAGCAGCCTGTTGCTGTTTCTCCAGGGCTGTTTTTAACACAGGAACGTAGTCAATATCTAAGACATCACTCAAGTTCTTCACAATCACTTTGTGATATGGGCTGACAGCAGCCTCCGAGAAGTTGAGTACAATCCCTGAAAAGAAAAAGAATAAATAAATGGATGAATAAATAAATGAATGAATAAATGAATAAATAAATAAATGAATGAATACAAGAATAACTTAGAAGTAAAACCTTCACTGTTGAGAAGCCTCAATCATTACCCCTTCAGGCCCTAATCCTGAGCCTTAAGGACCCACTCACCTGACCTCCTCCTTTGAGCACACCTGCCAACCCCTCCCAGACCAAGAATAAGAGTTTGCCTCAGAACCCTCCCTAGAAATTTGAGTTCTTTTGAGGCGGAAAAAGTCAGAATCACCAGAACCTCTGAAGAATCAGTTAGCTTTAATAAGAGTTTTACGGCACTTGCAAAACAATAAGGTCATATAGGTGCTGAAGATTAGAAGTGTTACAAGAGAGTAACAAACATAAAGCAGGAGAAGGAGAGATCAGGACGATAGATGTTTGATAGGAAAGAAGGAGCAAATCACACCAGAGCACCCGCCAACCACCCACTCTTTGAGGGGGGAAAAAATCAGAAATCTCCAGAACCCCAGAAGAATCAGATTATGTTACATTCTGATCATGGCAAATAAACAGGTACATTGCAAATACACAAGAAAAAGTACAAATAATGTTGCGAAAACATATTAAATAAACCGGTGAATTTTCAAGTCATTCACAATCAGTTGCGCATGTTTGAGGAAAAAAAAAAAAAAAAGAAAAAAAAAAAGAAGAAATTTATGCAAATCCGATCATGGTTCTTTTTATTGGAGTGCTTAGCAAGTCTGCTAGAACCAACTCTTCTTGGATTTGAACTATCACACACTGAAGTGTATGTTTGGTGTGCAGAAGGCTAAAGACAGCACTTGCTCAAACATGCACTCAGATCTACGGGATTAGATTATACCAACCGCATAATAATAATAATGATAATGATAATAATAATAATAATAATAATAATGATAATAATAATAATAATAATAATGATAATAATAATAATAATAATAATAATAATAATAATAATAATAATAATAAATTGTATTTATATAGCGCATTTCCACAAAGAACTGCTCTCAATGTTTAGTTTTAGTAGAGGTTTTACAGCGCTCGCAACTTCATAAGGTCATATGAGCGCCAAGGGGTGGATGTCAACTGAGAAGTCCTTACAGGGAATCAGACTTACTCTGCTCACCTCTCTAGCTTCAACAGCACAACGTCTGCTTCGACTATCAAGGCACCCCGGAAATAGTGGGTCACAAGAGTGTGACAAACATACAAAAGAAGTAGAGGGAAAGTGATGATAGTGAGGATTAGGAAAGAAAAAGCAGCAGTTCCCTGTTGTAGTTTAGCCACAGTTATGAGCAAGACATTGTTAGATCAGCCCATTTACAATTCTACGGTGCACTAGAATGAGAATGTCCCTCCTTTGAGAATGGCCTAAAGACACTTCAGTCAGTGGCACTGCCCGGGGGGGGTGAACTGCTCAATGCGCAGTACAATAATACAAGCAATACAGTTAAAGTAATACACATCGCACAGTCCTCTATTTTCCCCCTTGTATTCCAAACACAGAGGAGTTCACAATTAAAAGATGCAGCATTATGCTTACCAGTGACGAGGGTACGAAACAATATTGCATCTATTTCCGTGGCCGTGCCGCAGGCTATGTGGAAGAGCGTGGACTGAACTTCATGGTCCTGGCAGACAGCGGTCACGTCTGGGTTGTTCTCACTGACCACATGCAAGCACTGGGCTGAAGCAATAATGATAACAACGATAAATAACATTAGTATAGCACATGTCCCCACTCGAAAGCAAGCTCTATGCGCTTTACACTATGTTATTACCCCAGCAGACCATAGAACTCTCAGAAACATTCTCAGCTTCCCGGGAAGCATACAGTGCAAGCAGCTGGTTAAGCGCTCCAACACTGACAAGACCTTACACTGTCTATAGCCGGGTACCCATTTTCACCTGGGTGAAGTGGGGAAAATTAGTGTAAAGTGCCTTTCCCGCAGCTTGAACCCCTGAACCCTCAACCTCATGATTAGGAGTTCGGTAGCCTAACCACTAGGTCACCGACGTCACTACACGCACAGTAAACACACAACAGTACACTACTCTACAAACTGAAATCAGCTGACACATACAGAGGATCTAGTCACAGACAAAGTGGGATATACACTTGGTGAACCTGCACATGATCATGGTGTTAGCCAGAGCAAGGTCAAAGTAATTCTTATCCTTTCTTGAAAGTTTCCTCTTACAGAATCACTGTCTGAGTAGAGACTTTGAAGTCCCGCTTCTAGTTTTGTTTTTTTTAAAGTTTTAGTAGAGGATTTACGGCGCTCGGAACTGCATAAGGTCATATGAGCGCCAAGGGGTGGATGTCAACAGAGAAGACCGTACAGGGAATCAGACTTACTCTGCTCACCTCTCTAGCTTCAACAGTACAAAGTCTGCTTCGACTTTCAAGGCACCCCGGAAATAGTGGGTCACAAGAGAGTGACAAACATACAAAAGTAGAAGAAAATTGACGATAGTAAGGATGAGGAAAGAAACAGCAGCAGTTCCCTTTAGCAATTCCGGCACAGTTACGAGCATGACAATGATGACGACAATTTTACTGAGCAACAGAACATGGTAATGTCCCCCTTTTGGGAATGGCCTAAAGACGCTTCAGTCAGTGGCACCGCCCCAAGTTCTATGTGCAGAAAGTTGTAAACCATTCAAAATCAAAGAGCAACATACATAAGTGCAAAAAGAAGAAATATGACATTTTGACTAGAGATATATGGAATAGACATCTGAGATAAAAGCGTTAAACAATTTACAAAAACCTGTTCCTACATTTGTCTACAAAGCCCTAGAGCAAATTTAGACAAATTCGCAAGAACCAGTGTGACAGATTGACTGTGGACGTGACTGAGACATTTGGGAATTGATTCAGGAATACGAAGAGCATGCAACTCACCCACAGCACAGGACAAGTCATAACTGTAGGTCTCAACCTTGAGCATGGGAAGCAGCAACATCAGCAGGTTTTCTTTATTAAATACTGTGACTGCCTTTGCATTGTTTTCACTGTTAGGAAAGGGAGGGGGGGGAGGGGGGGGGAAGTAAAGTTGACAACATTAATAAAACTCATGTAGCCAAAAATATAGCCAGCTTACAAACCTTTTTTTAAAATTAAAAAAAGGTACATGTGAAAAACCCAACTTCAATATATGACCATAACCATTAGAAAAATTTGAGAACATAAACATCACATGACCAAATAATCTCATCTTAGCAAAGTTCCTGCACAAAAGCATGCACTATGCCAATGTTCAATAAATAAGCTATAAGAGCAACTTACCCATAATTCTATCAAACATTTTTAACAAGCTGAGAGTTCTTTGAAAAACATCATTCATAAAAAAATCATCAGTCAAAAGCTATATTGCAAACTAAAAAGACCTTTTACTAGCTCTCAAATATTATAATTACAGCTTGGAGTAATACATGGAACATAACTAGATACACCTGTAGTTTTTTTCCTAAATATTACAGTTCACAGCCAACAGTAGCACAGACGACAAAGCCTTAGCATACCACAAAATGGTAAAAAGCTCGACAGCTTGTATCAAGACATCTGAACTTGAGCCACACTTCCCTGATTCTTTTCTAGCGGTCCAAGTGTTGTCATACTGAAAACAAAACAAGAGGAGTGACCTAGAAACATAAATTACAAGTAATGTTATCCAACAATATAGTTCAAGCTGCCAAAACCAGTACTTAACACTTTGCAACCACACAGCCAGCAGTACAAAATACCCCATCTGGTCACCCAGCCAGGAGAGTGACCGCAACAAACTTCTCGGGCCTGTCGCAGAAGTGCTCCAAGTGACCGCAAAGTGTTAATATTCAAACTTCTAACGAGACTTGTCACGAAAGCAACCATCATAAACATCTTTATTAACTCTATGTCAGAGAAAAAAATTTGAGACAAAAGCCACAAAAAGTAGATATTTTAAACAGGATACAGAAGCGTTTCAGGGAAGCAATTTGAGATCAGAGTTTTGAATGGAACAACAAATCAAACTACAAAAGCTAGCGAATAGGGCTGGATCCTGCTCGCCAAATTTGAGAGTGGTGATTCGCGATCAGTCGGCTTCAAAGAATCGCGAGTACGTGAGCGCTCGTGGAACTGTGGCAGAACACTGACTGAAACAGAACAGTGTCATATCAACGCCACTTGGCGAGCGCGAGTCCCACTCTTGTTGTTCCGCCATCCTCTCCGCCCCACATCCTTTGTTGTGCTGCTCTATCAACTGACCTCAATTAGTGACCCCCATAAATACCCCCCCCCCCAACCCCATGATTCGCTAAAATAGTTTAGTTTTAGTAGAAGTTTTACAGTGTTCGCCGCTGCATAAGGTCATATGAGCGCCAGAAGATTAGAGGTGTTACAAGAGAGTAACAAACAGATGAGGACGATAGATGTTTGATAGGAAAGAAGAAGCAAACCACACCAGAGCACCCGCCAACCACCCACACTGATTATTAGTCGCGGCTTTCTAAAAAAAAAACCCACCTGACAATGGCATAACCTTGAAGAATTCTCGACTTTGAAAAAAATATCTCCACAAACATGCACTAAACCTCACTACAACAAGTTTACTAATGTGAAGACACTAATTAAGTTCAACAAACACCTCTTATAATATATCGTGTACACTCATGGTCTACATTACAATCATATAACTTAGGAAAAAACAAACAAAGCAAGTGGGTGGTTGGCGGGTGCTCTGATGTGGTTTGCTCCTTCTTCCTATCAAACATCTATCGTCCTTATCTCCCCTTCTTTTTTATGCTTTTTACTCTCTTGTAACACCTCTGATCTTCTGGCGCTCATATGACCTTATGCAGTTGTGAGTGCCGTAAAAGTTCTACGAAAAAAAATTATAAAAAAAAAACTATAACAGAACTTACCTGCTTTATGAGAGCCGTAAGAGGGGTTAGAACATCACTGGCCACCACTGCACTACATACACTTTCGTTTCCATGTATGCATATATTTCTGTAACAATTTTTTAAAACACTCATAAGGGCAACACCTCTGACATCATTGACAGTGAAACTTTTACATTTAGATTATGTAAGGTCCTCAACAATACTATAAGTTAACAAATGCATAATGGATAAAAAGCATATATCTGAATAATGATTATCGAAGCTTTTCGGACTCAAAATAAAAATCAAGAGTGAAGATGTGGTAAGAAAACTGTAAAATATCTTTCCAATCACTTTAAACTAGAAAAGAAGTTGTTGTTTTCGATCCAGAAAGAAAAAAAGTTAGCACCGCATCCTCTTGTCCTCAAGTGACTGCCAAATTTTACATTAAATTCCAGAGACATGCAGGCGTCATGCACGTATTGCACTACATTCAATTATGTTCTAAAAAGGAACACTAGATAGATATCTTTACCCCTTTGGCCAAAAATCTTTACTGGTATGCAAATAAATTAGCCTTGTCAACAAAGTATGGAACAAGAAATGGATCATGACTTAAGTTTGATGATTCGCCCCTCCCCCCCACCCCAAAAAAAAAGAAAAAGAAATTTTACAGGTTATTTCAATAGTAACAGAAAACAATTTTGAGACATGCTCAACTTCCTGTGATAGTGTAGCGTTCTTTAATCCAATACTTTCAGTTGCCGTCTACTGGTCAGAACATATTAATAACTAGCTGGGCCCCCTTTCGTTGAAAGGAATGATCGGTGCATTAACATCAACTGAAAGTCATTGTTGGCCTATTATATTTATACTCTACTGGAATGGAGCAATAAATCTTGAGAGATGCAAAATATTACAAGGTTTAGATATACATCTAATGATGTATTGATTGAACAGAAACTTCATTTGTTTACAATCAAAAACGAGGAAGAAGAAGAATGTTTACAATGACTTTCCCAGATTAGATCTAAACGAAACTAATGAAAAACTGAAAATTAAACTACAGTGACTTCAGACTCCTCAATAGAACTCGGCACCCTTTAAATGATTCTGAACCACCATTAATTTAGTCAAATTCAAAAGTTAAGTGGTTTCGAAGTTTTAGGCGGCAAAAGTGACTAACTTTCACAAATAAAATGTATAGGAAGAACGGCTGAGTACACTCTGAGAGTGTTTAGCACGGCAACAACACTACACCCAGTGCACAGAATTTTCCACCACTTAACTAACCTTACTGCTCCCAGAGCATTGATCTGTACTTCAGAACTAGAATCCAAAAAGAGAGGACAGATAATTCTGACAATGTTCTGTTGTAGAAGATATTCCACCGCCCTCGGCTGAGACTCAACGCGAGTCAGCATCTGGCAACCACAAGCTCGGTCCTCAGAGCTGGCTGACTGAAGCTGACAAAAAGAAAACGGAAAATAATAAATAGAATTGACAGGGAGACATCATGGCCACTTTATACAAAATTCCCATCCATTATCATTTTCTTTTATGCCAATATGAAATGAAGCCATTTCAAAGCTTTAGTAGTTTTGTGGTAGTTTTGCTAGCATGAGTGGTGACATCAGACCAAACTTACACTATGATCTAATCACCTCTTTGACATGCACTGGTTTGTGACAGCAGTCCTCTGAAAACAATCAAATTGAGACAACAAATAATGGAATCCTAAGAAATTGTTCCTTAATGCTGGAACATAATATCTCTAAGAAAAAACTCCATACTATGTTGGAGGACAACTTCGGTATTGATAATGGAAAATGGCATCGGGATGTTATAATGTTTTAAACCACTCGAAAATCTAAATACCTTCTTGTAAAGCTTCCCGAACCCACCACCTGGCCCCTGAAAGGCCTTCCGATCTTCCTTTTAACGCTGCCAAAAACTGTACGGAGCAGCCTTCACAAGAAATCTGACTGACACGGAAAATAGGTGACTTTTAAACTATCAGATCACTCCTGGCATCCTGGTGCACTACATTCAATAACCGGGGGAGCCAACACCCTCCCCCAACCCCTTACTGTCCAGGAAAGAGCCATTTTCAAACCTGATTGCATGACGATTCAATAACATCCCACTAACAAAAATATAGAATCATGAGAAAATACAATTTTTAAAGACTCAAGCCACGGACTTGTTCCTTCTCAAGTGTGAAATATTAAGTAAGCCTACTAAAATTATTTTAGAAATACGCATCATGAGTAAAACCTACATTGGCAATAATATTTATAGTTCAAATAAAAACAGCAAAAATCAACTATTTGTGACACTTAAAATGAACGATAACATTCATGTAAAAGGGATAGTTCATCAACAAGAAATGTGCTACTATACAATTCCTGAAAGAGATGGGAGTGACAGGATAAAAATACTGAAAATACCTTGGCCAGAAACACACAGAGACACGTAAAGAATCATATGAATTAATGACACCTTGAGAGTGAAAATGAGCCAGCGTACGATTTTCAAAGCTTTGTTATAATTGAGCCACAAAGAAGTGGAATTAAGTGCTTGTTAAGAATCACCATGTCACACATTTATAATACTACTAGTAGAGGGGCTTTTCTAGCCACAAAATATATTAGGCAACGAATTAGTTTTTTGAGCAATAATGAAAATCAATTGCAAGAGAAGCTGTTTTTATAAAGTGTGTTTTCCACTTTGGAACATTTTTAGACTAGGTGAAATCGGGTGGTAATAAAATTTATTAAAGTAAAATTATACCCTCAGATTTCCTGGATAACTTATAATATTAACAATTGTTTTCTTTTTTTATTCTTTCTTACCGTCATTTTCTGCACTATATTTTATTCACCGGCTGAAGCCCCAGGAGTAAGGGGGTTTCAGGGGCACCAGCCCCCCTGACCTAATAAAAATAGGAAGGGGGAGGGGCATGCCCCCTGAATCTTACCATAATTTGATGTTTTGCAGTTAGGTTTGATATCTCTCGCTAGCGCATCAAACATATGGGGGGGGGGGCTACCGAAAAAGCGCCTAATAATGACCATAACGTGCCAACAGGGGAGAAGGAAAGCTTTGGAGAAGCAACACAATGTGCATTTAGATCTATACGTGATGCCGGAGATTACTGGAGAAAAAGAAATTAATAGATTCTAGAGCTTGTCCTGCGCCTTGAGCCAAAGATGCCAAAATTATCAGCAACCTATTACATCGGACATTTCAGGCAGGCCGCCGGGGTCACATGTGTACTGTTGGTGTACAGCGAGCCCCCAGGAAACGTGTGTTTTCGCTGTGAATACAGTGGGAGTGTGTTAATCTATGATGAAAATAACGCTCTATCTTTTATAGCTTTCTATTTATAAACTGTTATTAACACATGAATAACCCCCTCTCATGAAGCTGATAAGACATTACGAGTATTACGCCTCTATTTGAATAACTATTTTAGACGCTCTTGCTGTTACGAATGATCTGGGGCTCGAAAGGGGATAATATAGGTCAATTTCCTAATGTTTTGCTCTTAAATTGTTCTTTTTACCTGCACAATAGTATTCAAAACTATCAAATAATTTTCATCAGGTAGATCTAGATCTAGATATCTAGATCTAGTATCATTTCAAACAAAATCAAGCTCATTTGAAATATTATGAACAGAAAAATGGAAGTCTTGTTTCCTGACTAGGCCTATCCCTTCGAGCTCCTCATGTCTAAGTGGGTCAATTAGTTTTAATTTCATTGGACGAACATCTAGAGCTACCAACTTGGCGTGTCTTGAAAGAGACGTGTGTATGTCTCGGTTACAAACCAACGCAGGCCGTTCTAAAAGTAGGCCAAAATTGCGCACAAACTCAGGCACTCCTGCACAATTGCGGTCCCGTTTGCACTAAATCACTCTAGGCCTAAGTGTCCTTGTAGTGATTTTTACGTGTTCCTTATAAATTTACATTAGATTCTAGATCTAAAATCTAGATTCTAGCTAGAACCGAGATATCTAGATCTCTAGAACTAAACTGAATTAAAATTATAGGCCTATCTAATCTAGATCTATCTAGATCTATAGATATATTGTCTTGGGGAAGTGACTATTCTCATCCGGGGTGAGAATAGAAAAACGATTTACCTCTCACCCCGGGTGAGACTTGCCAGCGTCTACGTAGGCTATTCTCACCCGGTGCGAAACAAGACCTGCTTTTCCTCATTTTGGAATACTGTCTATCGGTGTGGATGATCAAATTGATAAAAGCCAAGAAAAAATTACGTTATAGCACAAAAGTAAGCTAATCTGATCGTCTTCAAAGATGCTAGGGCTATTTCACTGTTCGAATCGAGCCGAACTACGCGGGTCGCCATTTTGTTTTGCCCAGAAGTTCTCGCAAGATCTACTCCTCCCCTCTCTCTCTGTCTCTTTCTGAATACTGTCTATTGGTGTGGACGATCAAATTAATTGACAAAAACAAAGTTAAAAAATGATGTTAAAACACAAAAGTAAATTAATTTGGTTGTCTACAAAGATGCTACGGCTATTTAACTTTTCGAATCGAGCCGAACTATGCGGCTCGCCATTTTGTTTTGACCGGAAGTCACGCTATTCCTCTCTCTCCACTGCCCACACAAAATTGTACGCTTTTAGTAGGCTACAGTTGTAATGGAACGTTTGTTCACGGCACAGAATTCAACAATTTTTATGTTATCACAGTGTAGAATTCTGTGGTTTAGGGTGAACGCAAAATTTGTTGGCCTAGATCTAGGCTATAACGGTGTACGCGCACCGGGTGAGAATAGCCAAAAGACTCGCCTGCACTATTCTCACCCCGGTCGAGAATAGAGGTGGCCTTGTCTTGGCTACCTAGAATCTAGATCTAGATCTTTAATTCACTCCCACATGACAAGGGCCGTCATCATCATGTAAACAAACGGGACCGCAATTGTACAGGAGTGCCCAAACTCAAGCAGACTGACGTAAACACACGAGCTGCCGGAATGTGGGACCCGAGCGGAACAGGGATGATGCTCAGCGGGCGTGCGCTGAGCCAGGGCCGGACTGACACGGGACCGGAACGATGCTGAGGTGCCGAAATAGGCTTATCGGGTAACATAAACCCGGTTCCTGCAGGACCAGGTCTAGCCATCGATCTATTGACCGGTGCGCCGCCGGAGAATGGCCACTTGCTTGAAAGTAACCATAACAATGAAAATCGTGAACAAAAATTACTTCTGTTATATGAGGGCTCTAGGTCTAGATCTAGATTTAGATCTAGAATCTAGATCTAGAAATCTAGTTTAAGACTTAAGATCAGATCTACCTTGTCGACAATGTTTGTAACGAAAGAAGAGATGTCATTGCAGCTTTGCGAGGAACCGTTCTCATTCTGATCGTCGGGTAAGTCAAGACCAAGGTCTGTCCCTTGAAGAAGTCCAGTCGGGTTGTGCTTTATAGCACTAAATCTTTTTGTTCTGCTTTTGCCCATTGTGTGAGGCACTGAACATAACGTGTGCTATAAATCAACCGTGGTCTTATCACTTGTCTCTGGCTGTTACAGTTGTTTGATGACTTGTCTGCTGTCCAGCGAGTTGGCCAACAAGAGCAAAAAAGGAAGTAAACAAACCATGTGTTGTCAACTTCCTGTCGGCCTTTCTGTTCGAACTCTCTTCGTGTTTTAGTGTACAAACTGTCGTGAGGTCTTCTCCTAGAGACAAGAATGAGAAAAACCCTATCCAGAAATATATTATATAGAGAAAGATAGAGAATTCCCCTTCCTCTTTTTACGTTACAAAATAGACTGAGTAAAAAAAAAAGTGCAACAAGAGAATCATTGTAATGAGCCAAAAGTCTCTCGTCTCAACCACCAGCGTTAGAAAAAACTGGCACACCCGGTGGACGAATGGAATTTGCCGGGCCGTGTGAACTGTGAACTGTGAACTGAGGTGAACTCGGTTATTGACAAAGTTATTGTCTGCTAGCAGTGCTAGCTAGCCCAAAGTCGACTATAGCCAAGGCTTTGTCAACAGCAGGCGTCATCAGGAATAATAAAATATTGTTGCCTGCCTTTATCAACAGCAACAAACTAACTTAGGCCAAAAGATCTCAATATATAACAGCCCACTGTTTAGGCCTAGAATCTAGACTCTAGATCTATGACCAAAACCAGCAGTACAGTAACAGTGAAGTTTACGGTGACCATTTTGCCTTGGAAGAAATAGATCTAGAATCTAGATTCTAGAATTATATCTAGAATATATATTAGATCTAGATATAGATATAGATATAGATCTAGATAATATAGATTTATAGATCTAGAGTCTAGATCTAGATTCTAGTCTAGACTCAATATCCTACTGACTGGAACTTGAGTTATGGATTCTGTAATATTCTTTGCTACACGTCCTGATTTCGAAAACCTTTGTTGTATCACTGTATGCTGTGATATGGAGGGCAGTTTTCCAAACAGCCAAATGAAGGCACAAGGCGAAGGCCTTCCTCTACAGTCCCACATTTGGAAATGTAGGTAAGCATGCATAGATCTACATCTAGAGTCTAGATCTAGACTCTATCTAGATCTAGAATCTACCTCAAGATAAAAAAGTAGATCTAGACTCTAGATCTAGATCTTTAATAATCTAGATCTATATATATCTAGATCTAGATCTAAGAAACATAGTCATGATAGATTTTCAGATTTCCGTCCTTTTTGTTGTTGTTGTTGTTGTTTGTTTGTTTGTTGTTGTTGTTTTTTTGGTCAAGTGAACTAACTTTCTTGACAAGTGGGGCAAATGAACTTATCACATAGATTTCTAATCCGTGATTCAGCTCTGAGCTTTTGAATTTTGTTCTAGCTTCGCTTTTGCCATTTCATTGCAGGAAAAGGAACGCCCATAAGCCTACTTATAAACATGCTATTACAGTGGAAACCATCTATTATATAACAGGCCCAGTAATAGATCTAGCAGGGGTCCGGTAATAACAGGGATTTTTTTTAATCCCCATTTTTTCCTACTCTTTGTCTCTATTACAAGTTATCGGCAATAACAGGGCCTCATCGGAGCCCAATCGGATATTGCTGGAACAAAGGCTCGTTGGCAATGTGTAAAAAGTAAGAGAGAGAGAGAGAGAGAGAGAAAGAGAGAGAGAGAGAGAGAGAGAGAGAGAGAGAGAGAGAGAGAGAGAGTAACGCAGTGATGGAGCAAGCCCACGCAAGCCACGCCTCTGCAAGCACACGCAACAGGTGAAGCGAGAGAGAGAGAGAGAGAGAGAGAGAGAGAGAGAGAGAGAGAGAGAGAGAGAGAGAGAGAGAGAGAGAGAGAGAGAGAGAGAAAGAGAGCTGCGGTGTGCTGCAGACTTCGATCTAGCCCAAAGCTTCGCCAAAAATTAGAAAGTTTTGGCCTAGCTAGATATCTAATCTACACACACGCGTAATATTCCCTTTGCAGGCCTGCCACATGGCCACGAGCCTGAAGCCTACTGGTTCCCATTTGTACCTCTCATTGAAAAAAAAAGACTAAAGAAATAAAAATGCCCCCCCTCCCAACCCCCCCCCCCCCAAAACAACCCCCCAACAACAACCCAACAACAAACAAACCCAAACTTGCAATAATTATTACCTAGTCCAAAACCCCTGTACGTGGGTATAATATGAACTTGTGGCAAGGGAAACTACCCTTGAATAAATACAGATGGATTAGTCCTCAGATGCTTACTTCCCTTGCATTTCTGATTTATCACGGATCTGCTGACATAACAGGACTTTTTCTCTGGTCCCGCCATCCCTGTTATATCAGGTTTCCACTGTATTTCTCTTTATAAAAATATATGGAACGACTTGAATAATATAATATAGCATCATCTGCCTATTGCCTGCCCTGAGTTATACGACCCTTATTTTACTAATGTAAATTTGCCCCTCAATATTATACCACCAGCAAACTGGTCACTGGAGGCCTAGGCCACAACATAGATCACAAAAGACCTCAGTCAAACAGTGTGTCTTCCATTTATAAGTTTTATTATAACTGAAATTATAAAAAACAAAGAAATGCCCAAACTCTCCCATGCATACAAATCCAACCAGTAACATCAGATTGAGTAACATCTCGTTCTCATCCTGTCTCACTGGGCGTATTGATTGTCAACAGAAAATAGGATTATCAAGTTACAACATGGAAAAGCGGCAGTGATTAACACACTTCCTGTGTGTTAATCCACAAGAAAATATAGTTCCAAACACACTGTTTGACCCCAATCTACAAAACCACCGTCTCATGCAGTATGCAAGAAGCTTGAAGAGTAAGCTTATTGAAGAGTTTAGGCCTTACTGAAGGAAGACTGACCACCTCATCAAATTTCTGATAAAGGGAAATAACTCATCTCCTTTGTGTCATTTTAATTGAGGAAAAAGATGATAAATAAAACTATTTTGTAAAGGATCAGCCTCCCATCTTGTATGAATATAGAAGTCTAGGCCCCCTGTAGATGATTTCCTGTGAAATTGTAGGATTTCGACTATGTTATTCGGAAACAAACTATATATATACATATATATATACATATATATATATATATATATATGTGTGTGTGTGTGTGTGTGTGTGTGTGTGTGTGTGTGTGTGTGTGTGTGTGTGTGTGTGTGTGTGTGTGTGTGTGTGTGTGTGTGCTCTTACTAAATTTTGTTATGAAAAAAGAAAGACTACTCAAAATTGAATTTTCATGAGTTCATGCTGGTTACCAGTAAATTTGTTGCACCATTCCAAAGGCAGCTTAATATCATCCCAGTTTATTTTGATCATTTCAGAGAACTGATATTTACAGAGCCAGGTGTGCTTGGAAGTCCTGCCTATGAGCCAGGTCACATTTTTCATATAGTTATGACCGTAAGTAGAATGGGATTTTGTAACATATTATGTTATACCTGATATGTACTATATATACTATGCACTCAAATCATTTTTGTGGTTTAGTTATGAGTTCTGAAGGTGATTTACTTGGGGCTTAGGGGTTTTGCCAGGTTTTTATTCTTATCAATGCTTGGTCTAATGATTTGTCATTGGAACCTTTGGAAAAATAAACCCTGAGTCTTCCTCCCTGATCTCCACAAGTGCAAAATTAGGAACCAGTATCTTCAGTCCTGAAAGTTTTTTTTCCTTTTTCGAGGGTTGGGGGTGAGGTGGGGGGGGGGGGGGTCTTAAAGCTGAACCTGTAACCAGACTCGTTTCGTGCCGAGCGATGTGGTATCTTTTTGTAATATCTCATTACCATTTATTGTTCCGCTGCACATGATGGATATGGTTTATGCCCTCGGCTTGTTGTTCTTTTTAACTCACCTATGCCACAATGTTTCTGAGCAATGAATGTGGGTGGTTGGCGGGTGCTCTGGTGTGGTTTGCTCCTTCTTTCCTCTTAAACATCTATCGTCCTTTTCTCTCATCCTTCTTTTTTACGTTTGTTGTTACTCTCTTGTAACACCTCTAATCTTCGGCACTTATATGACCTTATTGTGTTGCAAGTGCCGTAAAACTCTTTACTAAACTAAAACTGAGCAATGCATTTTGACCACTTGAGATTGATATCCATTTCCAAGCCTCTTTTTTGTAGCATGTTGGGACTAGCTAGAGGCTATTAGTCTTAGATCTATTTTGTTTGTAACTCTCATTTCCGAATGGTCCGATAAAGGGTCTGAAATATATATATATTGCAAAGCTGAGGGTCTTGCTTGACAGAAATCTCCTTTCAGCATCACATTCATTTGTTTGGAATATATTATATATGTATATCTGCATGATCATTTGCTCATATATTAAAATATTATACTAACTTGCTTCTCATGCTTTCAACAAATTTCTTTTGTTTTTCAGCAAGACCTATACAAGACAGGAAGAGTACAAGCCAGACTTCAGACTCAAGGCCTTCTTGTAAAATTTGTGAACTATTTCAATTTGTGTTTCTACTTTGCTTTACAACTTTTAAGATATAACACTGCCCGTCATGCCGTACCATTTTGCTTGTCAGGAGAAAAAAAGAAAGTTGGCCCAAAATACTACCAAAGTTGTTTTATTTGAGCTGATTGAATTCTATTCCTGCAGATTTTCACTTAATAATGTAGGAAAATCTACTAAGTTGGGATAAGTCACATGTTGTTGTTGTTTTCAAATCCCTTTCGCTGCGAGCATTTCGCTCTTGGCAGCGCAATTCCTCCCTCAAGTAACCACATGTCCTTGTCATCTGGTCAACGCCAGAGTAGAGCATGCTTTGTAAGTCTTTAGGAGGAAGTTACATAAATATGTATGAGCTCTGCTTTCTTCAGTGCAAACTTCATCAGGGTAGCTCTTGTTCATTCCAGTTCAGTAGGGCCTATCAGGGCGAAATTGTTTCGATTCAACATTTAGTTGTTCCTCCAAATCCAGCTGGGATTCTGTCTGTTGATCATTTTGCTTTTTTTCTCCCTAGTAACAATATCTTAAGCAATTATCGTAGATATTCTAAAATGTATATGTATTCATCCAAGACCAGCAAACATTAAAAGTCCTTATGATTGGAACATACACTGGCTTTATAAAAAAAATTTGATTCTTTTTTCTCTCTAGTATCAATATCTTACGCAATCATTATATATATTCTAAAATTTATATTTTATATATATTCATCCAAGACCAGCAAACATTAAAAGTCCTTGTGATTGGAACATACACAGGCTTAAAAAATTACTATGATCCTTTTTTCCACTTTTCAGCCTAGCAAGCCCCACAGAGTGTCAGCCCCTTTGTACCAGACTTGCCTACATTACACAGTACTTGCAAAGCTTGCTCCTGAGTGGAACAAAGTTGGTGACTGGTATATCAAAGGTACCGTAATAATTAGTATGATTGATGCTAAGTACATGGCTTCTAGAATAATCTCAATGATTAGCTTTTTTACCAGTAATTATGTAAGACCTGCCATCATCACTGTCCTCATATTTATTTCAAAATTTGAAGTAAGAAAGGAGAGTTTGGGGAAATGTTCTAATAGTTTAGTAAACATAACATAAAGTTTGGTTTCAAATATTTTATCTGGTAGGCTTTCTCATGAGTAACTGAGAAGAAAAATGAAGTAAAGGAAATGCTGTACATTGATACAGAGAGAAAGGGTTAATAAAGGAGATCTTTCACTTACAGTACCAGGTGAGCAGGTCCATGACTGAGTGTGAGCCAGGTCAAGAACTTGATCATTTATGTTCCACCTCCAGGGTTCCAAAGAAATTCTCATCATCATCATTGTATAATGCATATATTAAAACAGTTAAGACCTGGTAGTATTTCCAATTTTTTTAAATCACAAGTTCAACATTTCACCCTCAACGGGCTTCCTCGGGAACATTCACAATATAAATGACAAGAATCTAGATCTAGACATACTGTAAAAAAGTCATCATCATCATCATCATCATCATCATCAGCAGCAGCAGCAGCAGCAGCAGCAGCAGCAGCAGCAGCAGCAGCAGCAGCAGCAGCAGCAGCAGCAGCAGCATCAAAGTCACTGCAGAGAGGCACCTCTTCTCACTAGGAGGATGTCAAACATATGTTTGAATGTCCAGGAACTATGGCAATTCGAATAGAGTTATTTGGACGAGTGGAGGTGCTGCTAAGCATATTGACAATGGAGCTGAAAAAGAGCCTCGCTCTGGCTCAAAGATTTTTTCGTGGAGTCCACAAGGCAACAAGGAAGGAAACAAAAATCATTGTCATCATCATCATCATCGACACCATCGCGCAGTTACATTCTCTGAATTCTTGACCTCACATCTCACAGTATTAGAGTTACTCTCTCTCACAGTGGTTCCGATCGCAAGCTGCTGTGGGCGGCTTTGGAGATAAAGAGTTAATGTTGAGTTTTTAAGAAGTCTGAATAATGTTCAAGTTCTAGTTGTAACTTTACGACACCACCATCATCATCCTCATCATCATCATCCTCGTCATCATCATCTTTATCATCATCATCATCGACATCATCGTCATCGACCTCATCTCACAGTTGCTTTCACTTAAGTCTTGACCTTACATAATATCACTGTTCTAGAGCTACTCTCTCTCTCCTACTGTTCCTTCTGCCAATGATACTGAGGGTTTCTTGGCAGTTCCCATTAGTTATTTCCTTGGTGGTGTTGCGATAGCTTATTGTGGTCATTGTCTCCTTGTTCATCTCTTATTCTCCATCTTCCCTTTGTGCATGTGATTCACTTATGTTCCCTAATAATTTATGCAGGACATTTGTCATTTTGTGTCTCATCTTTTCTTCCTCACTTTCCGGATGGGTGGTTGGCGGGTGCTCTGGTGTGGTTTGCTCCTTCTTTCCTATCAAACATCTATCGTCCTTATCTCCCCTTCTTCTTTTTTATGTTTGTTACTCTCTTGTAACAACTCAAATCTTCTGGCGCTCATATGACCTTATGCTGTTACGAGCGCCATAAAACCTCTACTAAAACTAAATTAAAACTTTTTTCACTTTTCCTTTTTACTTATGTAACCCCCTCCCCAACCAAACAGTGTGTGGAGAGAGGGTGTAAATATGTACTTAAATCTGGTACCGTACGACAATTTGCAAAGGTGGTCAAGGAAACATTTTAAAATGTAGGTTTTTTTGGATGAGGAATTTTTCTTTTCTTCACTTCTTGATTCTGTAGATACTTGAATGTTGAGTTTTTAAGGAGTCTGATTGATGTTCAAGTTCGTGGGTGGTTGGCGTGTGCTCTAATGTGGTTTGCTTCTTCTTTCCTATCAAACATCTATTGTCCTTATCTCCCCTTCTTCTTTTTTATGTTTGTTACTCTCTTGTAATACCTCTAATCTTCTGGGGTTCATATGACCTTATGCAGTTGCGAACGCCGTAAAACCTCACTATAGAAAAAACAGTTCAAGTTGTAACTTCACAACACCACCAAACCATTTCACTGACAAAAAAAAGTTTGTCATAAACTGAGGTGGACGCTTTGACTTGAGTAGATTGCCAGGTTCAATACTGAGATGGGTCATGTTATTCATTTACAGTGGAGACCATAATATATAACATGCCCGGTAATAACAGGGATTTTTTAAATCCCCTATTTTTCCTACCCTTTGTCTCTATTAAAAGTTTTCAGCAATAACAGGGCCTCATCGGGGCCCAATCGGTTATAGCAGGGACAAACGCTTGTGTTAAAAGTAAGTAAGTGAGTGTGTGTGTGTGTGTGAGAGAGAGAGAGAGAGAGAGAGAGAGAGAGAGAGAGAGAGAGATCAGAGAGAGAGAGAGAGAGTAACGCAGTGATGGAGCAAGCTCATGCATGCCACGCCGCTGCAAGCACCCACAGCGGGTGAAGCGAGAGAGGGCTGCAGTGTGATGCAGACTTCGATCTAGTCCTACGCCTAGCTACACGCACGCGTAATGTATTATACCTAGGTAATGTATTACCTTCTTATTAATATAGTAATACCTAGGTAATGTATTACCTTCTTATGGGAATGCCCCTTGTGCAGTGATGTCGGTCCTTCACACAAGTAAACAAGTAATGTATTACCTTGTCCAAAACCCTTGTTGGTGGGTACTTGTGGCAAGGGAAACTACCCATGAATAATAAATGCAGGTGGATTAGTCCTCAAATTCTTACATTCCTTGCATTTCTGATTTAACAGGGATCTCATATAACAGGACTTTTTCTCTGGTTCCACCATCTCTGTTGTATCAGGTTTCCACTGTATGTTTCTTGTTGTTCTCCTCAGGCAAAGATTTCTTGTCTCATACTGGACATGCATACGCAATAAGTAAGTGCTTATTAAGTATTTCATTCAGTAGATAAAAAACGAAAAGTGAACATACTATCACAGCTGAGAATAACAAGATACGTTATGTGTCTTTGCTCTGAAAAGCTTACCCCAAAACAAAAGTTTGAAAACAGTAGATTATCTGAAACGTTATTCTTAATATTAAAGTTGAAACTCTTTCTTCTGACAATAATATCATGGGACTGTTTTTCTGTAGATCACAAGGTCCCTTTGTCAGACACTGGACTCAGGAGAAATATTCCAGGAAGCACACGTAACTTTAAGTAAGTCTTCTTTTTTACTTGCTGTAGCTCAAATCTGTACGTGTGTGTTAATTGAGTCAGTTACCAACTAAACCAACTTTGTCAGCTACAGGCAGGAGTGAGTGAGCACTGTGGACCTATTACTGTTCTATTAGGAAATAAACCCCTTTCTTTTGTGAATTACTTTTTGTCTTTCTTAACCCTATCCGTATGCCCTGGGGTCATTTTGTACCTCCGGGCTTGCATTCTTCACATTTTAGAATACTTCTAGTACAAAGATCTTTTTGAAACTTTCAATATTTCTCAAAAAATCATTTTGATAGACTGCTATACAAAGCGTACGGTTCGGATTAACGAGTAAATTTCCTCTTTGGAAAGTGGTGGCACAGAGTTCCCAACGTAGTGTGGATATGATAGTACAACACAACGTACAGATAGGGTTAAAGCTCAGTGGTGTCCACCTTATAGCAACCCCTTGGGAACCAAACTTTGGTCGCTGGTAGGTGGAGGTTGCTGCTAACTGAATTTTCAAAGGTGGTTCGTCTTCCATTCTCCCACCCTGTTCACACACAAACAAACACATACACACACACACATACACACACACACAAACACTCACATGCTCTCACTGACACATGCATGCACGCACACACATACGCACACGCTCACTCGCACACACACTTATTCACAGGCACGTGTGCACAATAGTTGGCGGGTGTGATGATGTTATTACGTTGAAAAATGATAATAAAGGCAATGCCAGCTTTTTATTTAGTGAGCTGATGCTCCATCACAGGGCGATTATCTTATGCACTCCATTTAATTTACGATGTTCAAGAAATGACTGGTGAAAGAGGCGGAAGGGTGAATATACCTCACATTAGAAGCTCATCTTTCGCTTTCTTTTCACAGAAATGAAGCTGTCTGTTAACAAGGATGAAATCTTTATAGCTCTGACTGGGACTGTAGTCAGGTGCCCACCATTGCAAGTACGTTGCATTGATATTTTACTTAACTGATCTCTCTCTCTCTCTCTCTTTCTCTCTTGCCATATTTAACTCCCAGTGGAGCATATGCCATCAACGACATTTCTCCAGCTTCAGAAGCCTGTCCCGTGCATCCTTTTCTAGCTGTTTCCATGATGTTCTCGCCTTTTCCATTTCCACGTGTACCGCTCACCTACATGTCATCTTACTTAACTGATTTAGAATACAGAAACATGTGTTTAAAATATATGTGCTTGCTTTGTATAA